GGGGGGGGGGGGGGGGGAAGGGAGGGCGCCCCAACGGGGGGGTGCTCAAGCCATTGCTCTCTGACGGAGGTGCCAGGGGCTGCGCGGACAAGAGTGGTCCCGCCCCTTCGGGGAACCAGGGAACCAGCTGGCCCCTCTTAACCGCCGGCCCCCAGATCTTGGGCCCCTCGGGGCTTGGATGGCTGCTGCTCAGGGGCTTAGACGGCCTTGTGCCTCATGCCCTGCCCATCAGCCATCCGGCCACTATCCACGCCACCCCTCTCTCCCCAGATGGGCTGTTCGTGACCGACTACTTCACCCGGACACCTCGCAAGCTGAATGCCTTCCGCTCCTTCACCAGCCTGGAGCTCTTCCATTTCCGCATCCCAGAGGACACAGCGGTGGCCGTCTGGAACCTGGTCACCTTCAAAGAGCAGGGTGGCACCCTTGGGGACCGATGCCCGGACCGGAGCATCACCGTGTGAGTCAGGGGCCGGGGGGATTCAGGCCTTCCTGGCTGCAGAGACTCCCGGGCCTCGATTCTCACCGGGGTCAGGCTGCACGGCCCTGGCAAATCTGTAAGGCTCCTGCTTTCTGTCTGGGAGTGGTTCCTTTAACTGGCCCCCACGTCCTCCAGGGGATCGGCAGGCCCAGCACCTTCCAAGCCCTGCCTGGCCCATCCCACTTGCAGTGTTCGCCAGCCGCCCGGAGTTTTTGGCTCCCAGCATTGCCGGCTGCTTTGAGCGGGCAGGCAGGTGGAAAGGGGAACTCTGCCCAATTCGAGAGGAAGGAAGACTCAGGAGAAACCGAAAACCTTGCGGGGGGGAGCGGGCATGTTTTTCATCTTTTATTTCCTCCAAGCCTCTTGGTTTGTCTTGAAAAAATTGGCACCTTTTTGGAAAGAATTTTCAAAAGCCCTCCAATAAAACACTTTCTTTGGGAATAACCTATCTCCCAGTAGCACTCTGCATTATTCTCCCGGTCCACCCCAGACATTTTTGGATACAGCATAAGAGGAAGACCTTCCCTAGGGAGCCTGCAGGCAGAGGAGAGCAGGGTGGTTGGCTCCCCCAGGGGCCTCTGCCTTTCCCCCCCAGAAGAAAGAGGACTCGGTGCCACTCTGCTTATGGGCTGGACTTCACTGACCTTTTATCAGGAGGCCAGTGGGCCGGCCCTTGACCAGGCCTGGAAGCGCAGCACCTCCAGAAGCACCCAAGCCCCCGGCCAGCTGTTCGGCGGGTCGGTCCTGGCAGGGAAGAGCGGGCTCCCCACTTGGCTGCTCAGCTCTGCCATCCCGGTTAAAACCGCTCCAGCCCAGCAGGGAAGGGGATCCTGTTTGGAAGAGCCGGGCTGTCCTACTCCCCGGGGCAGAGGTGCCCAGGGACCGGAGGAGGGCGCGCCCATAGCAACCCACGGAGCTGGGCCAGTCCCACCTGCCCTGGCGCAGGGAAGCCTGCCAAACTTTGCATGCCTCGCAACTGCTATAGCTTGAGGTCGTCTGAACGCGCTGTGTTCGACTCCAGAGCAGATTCTATGGAAGACAAATAGCTGTGGGGGGAGGGGGGACAGCGGGGGTGAGTTGAAGGTGATGCCATGGGGATCGCAAATTGCCAAATAATAACAAAACAAAACAAAACAAAACAAAACAAAACAAAACAAAACATAACATAACATAACATAACATAACATAACATAACATAACATAACATAACATAACATAACATAACATAACATCTGCAGCAAAAAGAGGTTGCTGGATTTAGATGCAGGTGGAGGCATGGCTGAAAGACCAGAACCCTTCCACCTGTGTTGTTGATTTTTTCCAGCCATCTGATGGACAAAATTAAGAGATCCTAGGCTCCCTAGAGATCTGCAGCATTCTACTTGTAACAAAATTAAAACATTTTAAAGTAAATTCAGTTGGTAAACACAATGACAGTCTAACAAAATTATACTTTTATAAATACACCAAATGAGAGCCAGTTCAGTGCAGTGTTTAAGGCCCCAGGCTAGAAACCAGGAGGCCCTGAGTTCAAGTCCTGCCTGAGGCATGAAGCAGCTGGGGGGCCTTGGGCCAGCCCCTCCGCCTCAGCCCAGGAAGAAGCAGGCCAGGGTGAACCACTTCCAAAAATGCTGCCATGAAAACTGCAGGGATTTGTCCACGTAGCTGCAGGGAGTCAAGGATGCCTAAAAGATCCCCCACCAAAAATGCACTGTAAAGGGTGGTACAAAGTGAATGTTGCACATATTTCAGTATTTCCTAGAATGTCAGGGTCTTCCCATGGTTTCCAAAATGTTGCATGTCTGGCCTAGTCCCTTTGCTGCTCCTCTGCACAGGGCGGTGAGCAGCTCATCCCGGCCATCGGCTTCCAGGCCAGCACGGGCAGCTCTGAGGCTCATCCCAGGCTTTCCTGCAGGGTCCCTGAGCAGCCAAGCCCACCCCTGCCAGAGGACCCTCCCCAGTGCCCGAAGGATGCAGCCAGGGCCACTGCTGAGAGCCAGCCAGAGGATATCCCTGCCAAACCTGGTTCAGCCATGGACTTTCAGGAGTAGGGGGGAGAGTCAGGGAAATGTGGGGGGATGCGATTTCCATCCTTGGCGGTCTCAGTGTCTTGCCAGGACCACTGCTGCTAGGGAACGCTTTCCAGGCCCAAAGCAGAGGGTGGGCTGGAGGGTTTCCTATCCTGGCAGACCAACCCAGCTCCCTCTCTCTTGCAGCCCCTCCCCCAGGCCTTTCGCCCATCCCCCCAACTCAGTGCCCAGGGCTCTCCTGTCTCCAACTCTCACCTTTGGGTCTTTCCTTGGCAGGTATTTCCGTTCAGGGGCACCGCCAGTCATCAACCCCCTGGGTATGCACTTCCCCAGGGACACGGCAGTGCCAGGCTCCTTTGCCCTCACGCTCACCTGGACGCTGCCCAACAGGACCACGGGAGTCTTCAACATCACCAGTCCCCTGCCCGGGGACTGGTTCCTGGCTGCCCATTTGCCCAAAGAACAGGGCAAGATCTCAGTCAAGGTGAGTGGCTGGGAAGACCTTGTGGCTCTCCAGCTCCAGGAGGGGCAGCTGGCTATCCCTGGGGGGCCTGGGGGAGCCAAATCCAGTCCCGGGGAGGAAGCCGTGGCAGGTAATCTGCTGCACTGGGTGGGGATGATGGAGGTTGTGGCCCAGTTCATGGCCACCGTGGAATTAAAAAGGCCAACAGCTCGTCTTAATACAAAGAAGATGTTGTGGTTGTAACCCCCCTCCATGAAAAATTGGCTGGGGAGTGAGAAGTCTCAGGACGTAGCTCGGGGGGCGTTCCTGTGGGAGGGTATGGACATTTTCCAAGTCTTCACTTGGCACACAGTTAAGCTCCCTGGCCTGCTCAGGAAAGGATATTCGGTCCTCCACGGAGAGAGCCCAGAATGACGGGTTTTGCGCACAGACGGGATGGGGGGGTAGGGATTATGGAAGGGTGTTCCTTGTGGGGAAAGGAGCCACCAGGAGGGCATTCCCACCACGCCTATCTTGAGAGCAGCAGCCTGCCTCCTGCCTCTTGGACGAGGCACCCTGGGGTCTTCCTGAAGGGCTGGGGGACGACTGGACGGGTGTCTCCTGACAGGGCCCCCTTGTGCCCACAGGGACTTGCGGAGGACTGCCAGTATCTCTTCCAGCCCCAGCTCATCGTCCAGCGCCTGGTGGGCATTGGGGTCCTGCACCCAGGTTATGAGACTGAACACGTCCTCTCCCCCCACAATCGCTCCCTGCTCTACAAGTGAGTGTCCTGGCCATGGAATGAGGCTTCTCTTGGGGTGTGGGAACAAGACGGGGGGACAAGGGAATAAAGATGTGTCCCAGGTATTTTGAAAGCAGCATAATATCGTACAAGGGGATTGTGAAAGAGACACACCTCCATGATGAAATTCACAGAAAACATAAGAAAAGGAAAGGAAGGAAAGGGTCTGCAAGATGTGCCACAGCATAATCCAGAATTCTGCTCCTTCCCACCCCCCAAAAATATCCTGCTTTGACTCCTCTCCATGAACCTTTATTTCTGATGGGGAGGCCCTCTTCAGCCAAGGGGGCTTGAGACATGTTCCCCAGCATGTTGGAGAAGCTTGAATGAAGGGGGCCCCCTAGGGTCTACCCTGGAGTCCCCAGTGATGCCCCCGCAGACCACAGCCAGGGCTCCAGGTCAAAACACAGCTCCCAGTTCGGAAATGGTCACCTGAAAAGACAACCTTTTTGAGTCTGGGGGTCCACTTTGTAGGCAGCAAGAAGCATGCTGGGCACGTCAGGACATCACCAAGGGGGAGTGGGCTTTGGCAAGAATGAAGGGCAAAGAAGAAAGGGCTCCTTAAGGCCCTCCCTTCCCCCACAGCCCCAAAAGTGCAGAAAAGGCTGGCTGAAAGGTCACCCTCTGGGAGTGGCAGCCAAGTGCCAGGGAGGGCCAGTTGCCAGTCCCGAAAGAAACCCCAGAAGGGACGGGGCAAAGAGCTTCCCCTCCACCCCCAGGGTCTTCGTTCCCAGCTACACCTCCAGGGTGCTTGTGCAGCTGCGAAACTGCCACCGAGGCAACCAGAGTGTGCCAGGCTGCCCCCTGGGGCTGAAAGTGCGTGGCAAGGCCCCCCCCCTGCACAACTCCACAGCCGTGGACTGCCGGGAGCAGCTGCCCTGCCACCTTGCCCTGGAGCTCCCCTTCTGGCAACACTGGTACTTCATCCTGGTGGAGAAGCATCCGCCGCTGCCCGACCGGATCCGCTTCCAGCTGGTGGTGCAGCTGCAGGGTGAGTTGGGTCCACGGGGGACGTTGCTCCTGGGCTGGAAAGCGCCAGCTCCGTGCCTCAGGGACAGCTAGGAGCATGGCACAGGATGGGCAGAAGCGGGGGCGCAGGATGGCTCTGGGGAGACTTCACAGCACGGAGCAAACCCACTTGGTGGGACGGCCGCTCGAGCCCGGGTTTCCAGGCCGAGAGTGGGATGTCCTCGAGGGCTGATCCAGCCTCCCACCCACCCAGGCAGGTTGAACGGCGGGAGTGGAGATTACGGCGGGGTCGAGGGCGGGCACCTCACTCTTTCCTCGGCTGCAAGAAAGCCGGGGGGCTGCCTGCCCTCCTTGCCTTGTGGAGACAGCAGGGCTGAGCGGGGCGTGGCGGGGCTGCTCCTCTGGGACTGCTAAGCGCTTGGCCCCTCCCACCTCTCTGCCACGATGGGGCGATGTGGGGAGGGAGGGGACTGCCCCAGGCCCGGGGCTGGGTCGGCTGAAGGCCCTACGGGAAGAGGACATCTTGGCAGAAGGCTTCAGTGGGGAAAGGTCTGGAGACCCAAGGAAAGCTCTCCTTGGGACGGAGGCCCAAGGCTGCCCAATCAAAGTGGTGGAGGCCCATCAGGGAAGCGGGGGAGGGGTGCTGGTATGAGGGGCTGCTCAGTGGGCCATGATCCAAGTGCCCCCACCCTTGGCAGATTGCTCCCGGACCGGCCTGAGTGAAGCCCAGCTACCCGGCTCCCGCCTGAACATGCCTCACTCCTTTGGCTCCACGGGAGGGCTGGCGCTGGCAGATATCCTGCCCCCCTCCCTCCCCAACAGCTTCCAGCCTCCAGCCACCTCCACACCCACCATGCCTTCCAAAGGCAGGGAGCACTGCTGGCCCACCCGGCCTACTCTTCGCAATGAGCTGGACACCTTCTCAGTGCACTTCTACATCTTCTTCGGCCCCAACGTGTCGGTGCCCCCTGACCGGCCGGCCGTCTTTGCCATCAGCCTCCTGCCTGTGCTGGACAGTGGCGGGATCCTCAACCTGGAGCTGAAGCTGAACGTGGTGCGTCTGCAGCTGGGAGGTGCCCTGGGCCAGCCCTTTTGGCTGGTCTGGGGGGCTTCAGCGGTGGTCAGTGGTCGTGTGGCCTGTGGCCCAGGAGCAGAGGGGCGGCAGGAGCTGGGAAGCCACGCAGGCTGGGAGCCCAGCGCTTTGGGCGAGAGAGACAGCCTCCGTGGCTTTCTTCTTTCAGCAACTCTCTGCCCCAGATGGGACCCTCAAGGCAGCCAGGGGGCAGAACTGAGCTGTGGGAGCAAGAGGAGATGTTGTACAAGATGGTAACACAGCATCGTGTCTGTTCCTTTAGTCTTCTCTGCGCGGGGAGAATGCAACCATCTTCGCGTGTTTGAACCACGAGGTGCCTTTGGCCTCAGGAGGGGACTCCTCAGTTACCTGTGAGACAGGTAAGGCCAGGCCAGGCCAGGCCACGCACTTCTGCAGTGACCAGCCACGGGACTGAGCTTGCAAGGGGCTTCTGCTGCAGAGGTGAAGGGGCACCCCTGCAAAAGAGGCGCTCTGCAAGGCAGGAAGGGGCGGGGGAGGAGAGCCAGCCTCAGCCGCTGCTTCTCCTTGGCAGAGCTGCTGGCTGGGTTCCTTCTGTCCATCAACGCCACCTCCCCCTTCGCCCGGCTGCGGATTCCCTACCCCCAGACGGGGAGCTGGTACCTGAGCCTGCGCTCGCTCTGTGCCATGGACCGAAGGTAAGGCAACCAGGCTGGGCATCCCCAACTGCCCCAGGGAGCCAGAGGGAAGCAGACAGGGCAACTGCCGCTGGGCCCAGCCAGGTGAATTGCACCAGTGCCTGCTGCTTGAGATGGCCCCGGTCCAAGGCCGGAGCTGGCAGCGAAGAACCCCTCCCCATTCGGGCAAACCTGCTGCTTTCTCTCCTCCTCCGGCTTAGAGGCCACCCTTCATGCCTGGCAGGGATGCCCCGCAACTGGGAGAAAACTCTCAGCAGAAGGGAGACATTCCACACTGTTAACTTCTGCATTTGCCATTTCTGTAGTTCCAGTTTGAGTTAAGGCTGATCCTCATGTCAAAATGCCCCGCTAAATGTTGTGAGAAGACACGTCCAGCAGGTACCTGCAAAGGATATTTGGGAGCTGAGTGAAATTGACAAAAATTCTGAGAGTTTCCTCTGCTGATGGGTCATGGGTACAGCCTAGAGATATTGGGGTGGGGGCATCTTCCATGCTCTTTGCAGCCCCTCCCCTGTGCCCATGATCTGTGGTGGCTATTTCTGAGCACAGGCCTGCCAGTCTGTCACCCCCAAAAGTGCAGGGGACGGGCGGTGATGGGGAACAGATCTGGGAAGAAGCGGGGCCTCTGGCCTCCCTCTGGACCTCTGCTATGCCCTCCCACTCCCCCATGAGGTTATTTTTGGACCAGTCTTATTTTATTTTTTTACTGTTTATTACAATTTTTAATAAAATAAAAGTATAAAAAAGGAAAGATAAGAAAGAGAAAAAAGGAGAAAAAGGAAAGAAAGAAAAGAAAAAATATATAGAATTATGACTCCCGCCCTTCTTTCTATCAAGTAGCTGCCATGGAGCTCTTTCCCTTCTCTCTTTTTGTTCTCCCCTTGCTCTGTAATTCCCTTCCCCTTCCCTTTTAACCCTTTCTAGTCCCAAAATCCATAAAGCGTCAATTCGGCCTTTTCTTCTTTCAACAAAGTCCATTTCCAGTCTTTCAAAAAGGTCTTCATCATTTTTTCCCTGACCAAACTAGTCAATTTTGCCATTTCTACAAGCTCTGCCGATTTCATACTCCAATCTTCCGCTGTGGGTACAGTAGTTCATTATTCTTCCATCTTTGTGCATAAGTAATCTCGCCAGTTACCATATATAGTATTGTTTCCCCTTATTTCTTTTCTAATTCAGTGTCCATAAAACCCAGTACGAACAATTCATCTTTCATTGTAATATTAATCCACAATATCTTTTGCATCATTGTATGGATTTGCACCCAAAATTTCTTTGCTTTTTCACAGGTCCACCATGCATGATAAAAAGTCCCCACTTCCTTTTGACACTTCCAACACTGGTTTGATATTCCTTTATATATTTTTGACAGCTTGACCAGCGTCAAATACCAATGATACATCATTGTATTAAAAAAAATCTTAAAATATGACACAATGTAAATTTAATACCAGTTTCCCACATTTTCTCCCATGTGTACTTTTGGGTATATATTATAACCAAAATGTGCAGCCCATTTTACCATGCAGTCTTTAACCTGTTCGTTCTGTTTCAAATCTTAATAATTGTTTATACATTTTAGCTATTATATGATCATCATTTGTACATAACTCTACTTCAAATTCAGTTTTCTTCTTAATTCCAATTGTCCTTTTATCCATATTAAACCTCTCTTTCATCTAAGAAAACCACTGACAAGAATGTCCTTCAGTAGCTAATTGTTCTCTTGCCTTCATCTTAATTTCTCCCTTATTTTGTATTAATAAATCCTCATATGTTAACCATCTTTCTCTATCTGCTGTTTCTCTTCTATAAAAAGCTTCTTCTGTGGATGTCAGTAATAATAATATCTTCAGGCACAGCCTGGATTTATATTTATTCCATGTCTTAATAAGGTATTTCTCAGATAGTGATTTCTAAAGTCTACATTCACTTTCACTTTGTCATGCCATAAAAAAAAAAAATGCCGCCCAAACCTCAGATTGTGACTTTCCAATTCCAACATTCTGTTATTTCTTAACAATGTCCACTCCTTCATCCATACCAAACAGCATGCAGCAAAATACAAGTTAAGGTTGAGTACCCTAATCCTCCTCTTTTGCATCTTGTAAAATCTTATATTTTACTCTTGGTTTCTTTATCCTGCCGTATAAACTTTGATCAGTCTTTTTGCCATTGTTTAAAAGGTACATCATTTTTCAGTATTGGTATTGTATGAAATAAAAACATTCTGGGTAATACATTCATCATTACCACTGATATTCTACCAAACAATGGTAATTTCAACTTCTCCAAGTTTAAGAAATCTTTATTTAATTCCACACCTTAACATAATTATTTGGTAGAGCATGCAGTTCATATTATTCATGATAATACCTAAGTATTTTACCTTCTTCTCAATTTGAAAATTAATTTTATCAATCAGTTTTTTGGGTCTTTCACCTGCATATTTTTACTCAACATTTACTTTTTTCTGTATTAACTTTAAATCCAGCTAGTTCACCAAATTCTTTTAATTTATCCATTAGCATTTCTATCCCTTCCAGGGGATTTTCTACTATCAGAACAAGATCATCTACAAATGCCCTTATTTTACATGTCCCCTTTTTAACTTTCACTCCAGTAAGCCTGTCGTCCTGTCTTGTATCCCTGGTGAGAACCTCCAATGCTAAAATAAACAGCAGTGGCGAGAGTGGGCGTCCTGGCCTTGTCCCCTTTTGTATGTTGCTGCACGTGGTCGTCAGCTCACCATTAACTATTATTTGAGCTGTTGGTGATGTACATATTGATTTTACCTATTAATAAAATTATCTCCTAAGCCCATACTTTCCAGAATTTTAAATATGAATATCCAGTTCAAATTACCAAAGACTTTTTCGGCATCAAGAAAGATCAATATTGCTCGTTTGTCATTATGCTGCTCTAAGCCTAACATTTTCAATGTTATCTCTCACTTGCCTTTTTGGTAAAAATCCACATTGGTCTTCATGTACGAGATTCTCCACAACAGCTTTCATTCTTTCTGCTAAAATTGCCATGAATATTTTATAGTCATTGTTTATAATGATACTGGACAGTAATTTTTTGGCAAAGTTGGGTCTTGACCTTCTTTATGTATTAATGCTCTATTTGCTCCTTTTCAAGATTCTGGAATCATTTTTTTTCAAAACGAAGTTCACTATCGTCTGTAAAGGCTGCATCAATTCATCTTCAAAATATTTGTGATACAATGCAGACAGTCCATCTGGTTCTAGTACTTTCCCTGGTTTACTCTTTTCTATGGCTTCCATTATTTCTCTTACAGTTATAGGGCCATTCAGCACCTGTTTTTGCTGCTCATGTAGTTTTGGCAGCTTTGACTTCTCCAAATATTTATCTATTTTCTCCTTTTGAACCTCCTCACCTTTATATAATTTTCCATAATTTTTTCAAAGATTCCGTGCAATTCCATATTATCATCTCTTTTCCCTTTTGCAATTTTAGCATCATTTTTTTTCCTCTTTCTTTCCTCAACTTATATACTATTTCCCTGGTTTATTTGCTAGCTCAAAGTTTTTTTGTTTTGTAAAACTCATTTTTATTTGTATTTCTTTAATTGTCAGCATGGAAAATTGTTCTTGTAGAAGTTTAATTTGTTTCAAAATGCTTCTGTTTCCTTTTGATTTTTTAAGTTCATTTTCTTTCCTTTGTATCTCAGGTAATATCTTTTGCATCTTTTCCTCTGTTTTGTAATCTTTGTATTCTGTTGGATAAATTGTCCATTCACATAAGCTTTACTTGCATCCCAAACTATTGTTGTTTCTGTACCTTTATTCAAATTAATTCTGAAAAATTATTTTATTTGTTCTTTACAATCCTTAACTATTAATTCATCATGCAACAAAGTTTAATTCATTCTCCTTCTATATAAATTTCTTCTTAAAGTCACTGGATTATCATCAGAAAAAGTTCTTGGTAATACCTCTGTTTCATCGGTCCATGTAATTAAGTTCTTAGAGATCCACAACTTATCAGTTCTCGACAATGAGTTATGTCTCTCAGAATAGTATGTATATTCTTTTGCATTTCCATTTACAGTGTCGCCAAATATCTATAAGTTAAAAATTCTCAACCATTAAAAAAAAAAAATCTTAGGGAGCTTACCTTGCATTTATTTTGTTTTTACTGAGATTTTCTCTCTTTGTGGACATGCCCCACCATTCCAATCCCTTAACAGACACCAACTTTCATAGTTAATCTCCATTAACTTATTAGTTTGTTAAAAAAGATTTATTATTATTAGGTGTATAGACAGCCACAACCACAATCTTTACAGCATTCCAAATAATTCCCACTCCTATATATCTACCTTGTCCTTTAATATCAATTTTGGTTGTAAAATTGTATTTATAAACAAAACTACCCTGCTGAAACTAAATATTTTGGTTTCCCCTGCTGAAATAAATTCTTCTCCCAAATTATTGTATACCAAATATTTCTTATCTTTTTCTTTAATGTGTGTTTCTTGCAAGCATATCACATCGTTTTAATTTTTTCAAATAAAGACCTTTTTTCCTTTTTTGTGGGTAATTTAATCCATTTATATTCCAAGTTAAACTTTTAAGCTCCATAATTATGCTGTAAGTTTTGAGAAGTCCATAGCTGTAGCTCCTAATGTTGTAGTAACTTCCTCTATCTCCTCTCTTTGTTGCTGTTTCTCCCCCTCCTCTTCTTCCAACTATGTCTCTCCACACTTATCTTTCTATCTCTCATGAAACTCTCTTGCTTTTAGTACAGAATTCAATCTATATCTTTTCTGGTGGTACATCACAATTATTCCTTCCACTGCATCCCAATGGAATGGATGCCTGTTTCTTTTAAGTGAATCTGTCAAAAAAATATTCTTTTCCTCAAAATTCTGGCTGGGATTTCTTTTAAAACAATATATCGTCATCATTTATCTTAAGTCTGTTTTTTAAAATGGACCCAGGTTATTGAGAACCAGCAGACCCATGTGCAGAAACAGCCCAAGGGACAGGTCACCAGTCTGGAGCTCCTCTGCTACTTGTCCCTTGGGCATTTGGAAAGGAGGCCCAAACCGCCACCATGGGCCCTGCCCACACCTGCCCAAGCCCACCCTGCCACCCTTCAAGAAGGGCGATCGGTGGTGGCGCTTCCTGCTGGCAGCTGACCCAGAGGCGACGGGGGAAAGTAGCTGCCCTTAAACGCCCCACGGTCACACCGCCAGGACAGGACCACTTCCAGCCTTGGTACCGATGCAGGTTGGAGCATGGCCACTGGAGCACAAATGACGTTGGCATCAATTCAAGAACTGGAGAAACACACCTTTGTGTCATTGGAACAAACAGCCCCGAGAGAAAAAATCTGACCCTGCAGGCACCCAGGAGAAGGCAGTGGCAGGAGCTGGCTCTGCCTTCACAAACTCAACAGAGACCAGTATTATTTTTTTAAAAGGGCTGCTTATGAAGGAGGAGGTCGTGGTCGAGATGGAGATGGAGAAGATGGTGCTTAACATTCCCCCCCTCCCAAAACGCCTCTCCCAAGCAGGCACCCCTTGCCACCCCCACAAATTGAGCACCATCCTCTAGAAATGCTGAAGGCTGGCACTGCCCCTTTCTCAGGGTGGCTGGGGGGCTTGTGCAGGGCTGCTCCAGGCCCAGGCCCAGGCCCAGGCCCAGCCCCCTGTCTGCCCACAGCCTCTTTTTCCATTGGGCCCCACAAGCCCTCCCCAGACAAGCCAGCTCCCTGCAGACATCGCGTTCTGCCCAATTTCTCTCCCTACTCACGCCCCCTTCCTGCAGGGAGAAGCTGCCATCTTGCAGAGAATCAGGCAGGTGACCCTGGCAGAAATATGCAGGAACTGTGACCGGGCAACAGGGGCTGAAATGTCTTTTAGGGCCAGAGCACTGAGAGAACACGTGGAAGCGGCTCCCTAATCCACCGGGCACAGTCAGAGCTGCCATAAAAGCCGTTTCAGCCGTGGAGTTGAATTCCTGGTGCTCCTCCTGGTGGAGCCGAGACGTGTTCCGATGTGGGGAGCCACCTGGTGCCGTGGTCTAGGAACAGGCAGAACGCAGTGCCCACCAGGCTCCCTATCCTGCCTGACTCCTTCAGAGGATTCCTGGAATGTTTAAAAACGTAAACAGAAAATTGGCATGCTGCAAAGCCAGGCCCCACCAGCCCTCAGCGAGGCAGCCTCTCACTGGAGCCACCCAGCCAGTGGGCAGCTTTGGCGTGTGCCCTTTGGCTTTGGGGAAAGGAAGGCTGCATTGGCACCCGCCTTGCGAATGCACCCATTTGGGCCCCAGACCAAAGCCTTGCCTGCCTCTGCTTCAGCCGCAGAGATGTTAACACGGAGGCCATGTAGCACGAGAACCGTTCGGCCTTATCCCTGAGGAATCCTCGACGGGTGGAGGGCTGCAGGCCTTGCCAGCTGAGGGGCAGCCCTGTGCCCACCACAGGTGCCAGGCCTGGTCAGGGAGACACGGAGAGGGATGGTCTCCCTCCCTGGCCTGCTCCTCTGGTCGGGGACCAGCCACCCTAGCAAAGGTTTTAGAGGCAGCGGGGGAGACTCTGGGTCCACCCAGGCGGCTGGCGGTTTGCACACCCCACCAGCCCCAGCCCCCCAAGCGCAGGCTGGCTCAGCTCAGCTCCTCTTCTACCAGCTGGCGCCCTTCTTGCTTCCGCTAGGGCCGGGTCCTCGGGTGCCTTGTCCCAAGCAGTGGATTCGGACGCCGCCACAAGGGAGGCCTCTCCTGACCCAGCCTCCCTTCCCCTGCAGGCCGTCGTCCTGCGGGAACACGACCGCGGAGGTGTACCTGCGTGCCTTCCTCTCCCCCTGCATCAATGACTGCGGCCCCTACGGCCAGTGCAAGCTTCTGCGGACCAACAACTACCTGTACGCGGCCTGCGAGTGCAAAGCAGGTGAGTGGGCAGGGTGGTCCTCGGGAGCGGATGCCACGGAGGGAGGGGCTGAGCCATGCTGCGTGGCTCTCCCCCTTTGGGCCCCTCAGCGAAGGGCTGGTTGTGCCTGGCTGCCCGGGGGCTCGGCAGGGGGCTCCACTCCCACGTCTCCAGGCTGCCGCTCTTCCTAGCGCCAAGGACGAGTCCCGGCCCCCGCTGCCCGGTGACTCCTGGGGGCTTGGGAGGGAGCTGGCCCACCCCCCTGGATTCCTGGGCACAGGGTTCGCGTGCCGGGGGAGCCCCGTGCCCAGCCCTGAGGCCACCCTTCCCTGCAGGCTGGAGCGGCTGGGGCTGCACGGACAACGCAGCCGCCTTCTCCTACGGCTTCCAGCTGCTGTCCACCCTCCTCCTGTGCCTGAGCAACCTCATGTTTGTCCCGCCAGTAGCCATCGCGGTGCGGACTGGCTACCTGCTGGAGGCAGCCATCTACGTCTTCACCATGTTCTTCTCCACGGTGAGGCTGCCAGGGGACAGGGGACGGGCCCCCAAGGCAGAGGGAGACAGCACGGGGGGGAGGCAGGAAGGGGCCCGCCATCCCAGCTCTCACCTGCGGTCTCCCGCGGTGGTTTCTCCGAGGCGGGGGAGGAGTTGAGTGGCCCTCGGGTGGCTTGCCTGAGTTGGTTCAACGCCCCAGTGGCCTTAAGCCACGGATTGACCAGCACATCGGCCTTCTTCCCTTTTGCTAGCTTCCTGGTGACCCGCTTGGTCAGATGACCTTTGACCCCCGAAGGAGCGCCCTCGCCCTCTTGGCCAAAGACGCGGCTCTTCCGCTGGCAAAACTGAACGCCCGCTGCCCCTTTCCCAGCACGAGGTTGCCTCGCCTCTTCCTTCCCAACCACGTCACCCTCAGCCACCCCAAGAGCCGACACTCCCCTACCGCGCACACACGCACACACACCTGGCTCCCGGCCAGTCAGTGCCAGCTGAGATCCCCTTTGCACTGGTGTGAGCCGGGATGTTTAGCTCCTGCTTCCATCAGGGAGCCCGACTGGCTAGCATGTTGGCCGTTCACCAGGGTAGGAAGATCTTCGGGGGCACACTCATCTCGGACCTGCATAGGTGGGCAGGGGGGGCGGAGGTACTATCATAGCCTGGAGCTATCCAGAAATGAGATCCCAGAGGAGGGATCGGGCTGGGCCTTCTGACATGCTATTTTTCTACATGCAGGGACCTGATTTCAGTGGAGGGGCCCCTGAATCATTAATCATCGAGGCCCCAGGGGTCTCGCCTAGAAGGGAGCCACAGAGGGCAAGCCCCCCCAGCCAGATTGCAGGGAGAGGAGAAGCCAGGCTGCTTGGAGGGATCCTGCAGGGGGCTGGCCCGGGGTTGGGGGCAAGCTAACAGCCCCCATTCTGCTGGGCATGACCCCCTTCTCCCTCTGCCAGTTCTATCACGCCTGTGACCAGCCGGGCATCGTGGTCTTCTGCATCATGGACTACGACGTGCTGCAGTTCTGTGACTTCTTGGGCTCCCTCATGTCTGTCTGGGTCACCGTCATTGCCATGGCCCGCCTCCAGCCCGTCATCAAACAGGTAGGGAGAAGGGCTGGAAAGAAGCGCTCCAACTCTGGGCTGGAAGCGCATTAAATGGGACCTGGGTGGGGGAGATGGCGGATGCCTGCTTAACGGCCTGGGGGCTCCCTGGGCCACAGCAGCCCCTCCCTCCTCCCAATATTTGTGTCCCTGACACAACAGAGGCCATGCAACGCACTGCACAGACAAGACGTCTTGCCCAAGGAAACGGGGGCAAGCTCAGCAAAGCATTTTAATACTGAATACCGAAAAGGATCACGGGGTCCGAAGCCTGCCGCCTGACACAGAGGGCAGGTGGGGAGGCCAGCGGTGCTTCCCAGGAAGGCTCGGCGAGCCACTCCCAGCCCGGCCTACCTCACAGGGTGGTTGGGTGGGAAGAGGAATCACGAGGGATGCTGCCCTGGCTCAGGCAGGAAAGGCGAGATGTCCAGCGAACAAACACATTCTGTCACCATCTCAACTTTTACCCCCCTTGCCCCCTCCCGGGAGTGAATCCACCAGAGGAACCACACTCTCCCAGCCATGTGGCGCAAATGCCAGGTGTGGGCAATACACCCACTCCTTTTCCCGGGGTCAGAAGGGAAAGGGCGGTGGGGCTGGAAGCCCAAGTGGGAACCAGCAGCCGCAAGGCTTGGGCCCCGCAGGTGAGGAGGAGTGGTGAGCCCGGCGTGCCCGGCCAGCCAGCCCTGGAACAGGGCCAAGGGGGCTGCTGCCAGGCCACCTGCGGCAGGGAGGGCGAGCAGAGGAAGGGTCGGCATCCCGAGTCTTGAAACGGCTGGCGAAGATCAGGCTGTGGGAAAAGAGGACACAGGACCAGCATGGCGCAGGGGCTGCTCTGCCCGGCTGTGCTGTAGCTCCAGAAAGCCATGGCCTGAAGGCAGGTGCCTCTGAAGCAGAGCTCAGCAGACCGACCGCCCAGGGAGGGACTCATGCTCTTCTCCCCGAGCAGGTGCTGTACCTGCTGGGAGCCATGCTCCTCTCCATGGCCCTGCAGCTGGACCGGCACGGCCTCTGGAACCTGCTGGGCCCCAGCCTCTTCGCCGTAGGCGTCATGGCCATTGCTTGGGTAAGACCCCGGGCCCTTTGCTCACCCTTCCCTACCCTGGGGCCCCGGGCTGGCTGGGCCCAGAGGCGGAGCCAGCGAGGACCTCGAACGCGCCTCTCCGGGGGCCGCAGCAGCAGCAGCCCCTGGGACAGCCCACTCCTTGCCCTCAGCTGCGATTCATGGCAGAAAAGAGGGGCTGAGCCCGGGCCCTGCACCCCCCTCTTCCTCCAGGCCAGGCGGCAGCACCCAGGCCCGCTCCCAACACCGGGCTGGGCCCTGCTTCCAGCAAGCGTCCTGGCCAGGCCTCTCCGGCAGTGACCGCAGGGAGGCGTGGCCGGAGGCGCAGGAGCAGCTGCTCCTTGGCCGGGCCTGCCCAGAGCTGGCTCCAACCTCCTTCCACCTCCAGACGGTGCGCGGCGTCCGCCGGCGGCGTTGCTACCCGCCCACCTGGCAGCGCTGGACCTTCTACCTCCTGCCCGGAGCCCTGATCGCCGCCTCCGCCGTGCTGCTCTACGCTTTTGTCGAGACAGAAGAGAACTACTTCTACATCCACAGCATCTGGCACATGCTGATCGCCGGCAGCGTGGGCTTCCTGCTGCCGCCCCGGGCCAAGTCAGAGGCAGCCGGGCTGGTGGGGCCTCTGCCTCGCCGGAAGGGCTGCGGCTACCAGCTCTGCATCAACGAGCAGGAGGAGCTCGGCCTGGTGGACCCCGGCGCTGCTGGCGGGGTCTCCATCACCAGCGTCTGCGCCAGCTGATGCAGGGAGGCCGCCC